TGGGAAGACCTGCCTGGGTCACTCTTCCCTGGGCTCCTTGATTTCAAGTCAACAGACCTCTGCTGTCCAAAGAATTTGAGTACTGTTTACCTTACCATTGCCTTCCATGGTCCTCCAGAGCTGCCCTTCTGCTCCCAGCAGTGCCTTATTGTCATTAAACTTGCTGATGAAACCTAAGGACCCATGGATTTTTGCCATCTACCCCACCCCTGCACCCTTGGAACTTCTGGGCCTTTCCATTTGCCCTGCAACTTAACTTTCTTTCATGTGTTGTCTCCTCCTAATTAGAGTGTGAGTTCCTTGGGAGCAAAGATTGTTTCGCTTTTCTATTTGTAGCTCCAGTACATGCTATAGTTCTTGGCACATAGCATATACTTGATAAATGCTTTTTCTTTCATTCATTAAACTAACAGTGATTTTAGATCTGTAAAGGTTGCTGGGGGGACAGGGGGAATATTGGATTGATTTCACTTTTCATTGTATGCAAAAATGGGTGGAGGCTGGGTTTTATCTTCTTCTACAAGTTCAAAATTTCTTGAAATTCTACATCCTTATCTATCCTTATTACTATTTTCCTTATATTATTATCATTATCATATCATTGATAGATTGAAACAAAGCATGAAGGAGAAAAACTTAAAGATCACTCTAAGGTTTCTAGCTTGGGAGATTAGGGAATTTATGGTGCCATTACATACTGAAAGCAGATTTGTGGGGTGGCAGGGATGAATTTGGTTTTAAATATTCCCTTATATGTTAAATTTTTGGTGATGGTAGCATATCTGAATGATGACTTCCTCTAGGCACTTGTAGGTAAGAGACGGACTGGTTGTTTAGATGAGAAATCAAGGCTGAAGACATTTAGATTCAACCAGATAGAGATAATAAGTGTAATCATGGGCAAGAAAGAACTTTCAAATGTAAATGTTTAAAAACAGATCTTTGTAAATGATCCTGCCTCATACAGATTGCTAATAGGATAGTTCATAAAGCATTCCACTATACTTAGCAGTTTGTCTTTAGTTTTGCTCTTGAGAATTCGAACTGGAATGTAGTGATGGAGTATTATTGTGCTGTAAGAAATGACAAGCAGGATAATTTCAGAAAAACCTGGAAAGACATGTTACATGAACTGATGCAAAGCAAAGTGAGCAGAACCAGGAGAACATTGTACACAGTAACAACAATATTGTATGATGAATTGTGAATGACTTAGCTATTCTCAGCAATACAATGATCTAAGACAATCCCAAAGGACTCATGATAAAAAATGCTATCTGAAAGAACTGATATTGTCTGAATACAGAGTGAAGTGTACTATTTTTCACTTTCTTTCATTCTTTCTTTTTCTGTCTGAGTCTTCTTGTACAAAATGACCAACATGGAAATGTTTTACATGATTGCATATACATGTATAATCTATATCAGATTGCTTACATCTCAGGAAGGGGTTAGAAGAGGAAAGGTTAGAATTTAGAACTCAAAACTTAAAAAAAAAAGTTTAAAAATTATTTTCATGTATAATTGGGTTGTGTGTGTGTGTGTGATATTTTTTAAAGAGCTTACTATGTGCCAACCCCTGTGCTGGGGGTTACAAAGAAAAGGCAAAAGGAGAGCCTGGTCTAAAGGAGCTTCCGTACTATAGATTTATAAAAGGTAACCTTAGAGAGAAGGGCTCTAGCTGCTGAGGTAACCTAGAAAGGTGGTGTCTGAGGTGAGTCTCAAAGAAACTTGAGGTTCTGGGGTGAGGAAGGAGAACATTCCAGACATGGAGGTCAGTTAGCACAGAGGTAGAGATGAGACTGGAAGCAGTACACGTGTGAGGGATAGCAAGTAAGCCAGTATGGCTGAACCCTGGAGGACGTGGGAGAGAATGATGTGTACAAAGGACCTTGACTGTGATTCCCTTAGCCCAAATTATGATGTCTCTAAGGAAAAATGGCTAGTTATGCCTGCTTCTTTGGTGAATGTAGTTATAATTTTTAGCTATTACAATGTATTATTAAAGCAACTTTAAATAGACTCAAATGATGAAGACATTTCATTTGTAATAATAACAGGTAGTAGTGGCACGTGTATTGGAGTACTGCACTGGTAGTTCAGATGTCCAGATTTTAGTCTCTTCCTCTGACACTAAGTAGCATTGTGACCTTGACCAAGTCATTTAACTGTTTTGGACCTCAGTGGAATAATTCTAGATTAGCATTCTGTGATAGTAGTTGCTTCTGAAATGTTATAGGAGTTGTACTTGATCTGCTCTGATTGCATGAGGCTTTTAAAAATTGTTTTAGAGCTTGGAGGAGACTTTGTGAATTTAGTATTGGATACCAAAACATTGGAAGAAGGTAAAGTTCCCTATCCTGCCCACAAATGACCCTGTTTCTCTATTCATCCCCAATTCCATATGGGGATCATATATAGATATTTTTAAGTACAGATTTGTTGGATAGTTTTTGCATAATAGCTATTATTAATAAGAGCAGTGTGGTAGACATGTGTTTATCTGAATACTTCAGTATTTATTTGTTTTGTTTTGTTTTGCAAGGCAATTGGGGTTAAGTGACTTGCCTAGGATCACACAGCTAGTGTCAAGTGTCTAATCTGAGACTGGATTTGAACTCAGGTCTTCCTGACTCCAAGGCCGGTGCTCTATCCACTGCACTGTCTAGCTGCCCCAATACTTCAGTATTTAGAAGTATAATTTTTTTGGTGTAGATTTTCCCCCTCACCAACATAAATGACAGCAGAACTTAGTAGATGGTTTTGGAAAGTTGTTATAGAAGGGGGGAAAAAATCAACTCTTAGAGCCAATGTAGTGGGAAACTTTGCTAAATTTAGCTCATCTGGTTTTCAAACAGTGGACCCATGCTCAATCACTGGGTCCATACTTAATGCCCTTTCAGCCTTAGAAAACCTGGAATCATCGGGCCATATTCTCATGTGGTGTCAGAGTAAGTCTTTAGTGGTTAATATTTAACTTTACCTGGCAACTTGGCAGTTACCCAGAGAGCTCATTTTACTGATAGCCTTAATCTTACTACACTTAAAAGTACAGGTATAATGTGTTTAGGTTAGGCCATCAATTTTGAGTAACTGCCCATTTGACTTTCTTTTGCCTTTTGCTGCATTAGTTTTACTCTCTCCTTGATCCAAAGGAAGCTTGAAGGTCATCCAGTACTATTCCCTCATTTCTTTTTTTTCAGATGAGGAAAGTGGCAAGAGAGCCAGGATTTGAACGAGGGTCCTCTTTACTCCAAATCCAGTGCTTTTTCTACTATACCACCTTGGTTTCAGTACTGGCCTATAGGGGAAAAAGGTTAGCTCCTCGACTCTAGTTCCTTTCCCAGGAAGGAAAGTCATTTTAATGGGTGTTATATAGTTTTTCATATATAAAGCATGCTTCCATAGAAGGGGAGTAATAAAGCAGTACCTTGGATAATGAGTAATCATTTCTAAACATATGCACATATGAAATAAATTCAATAGTCTTAATAAAAAATTATAAGTAAATTAAGAAAAGGGGGCAAGTGGGTTCATTTCTATCTTACAAATAAGGAAACCAAACCACAATGAGTATACCCTGTGATCTAGGTGCCTATTTGGCATTAAAACACGTTTTCCAATTATATAATGTATTTCAGGTCCCTTTAAAGTAGTCATTAGTTCTCATGTGTTCTCAGCATACCTGGCCTTTTCTCAACAGTATCTCTACTCATTTTTGCACATGGTGTGGACTATTGTATTTTTAGAAGTGTTAGTTTCATCACAGAATCTCAGAAGTGGAAGGTCTGTAATCCCCTGTATAACATCCTTAAGAAATGTTCTTCCAGTACCTTCTTTAAGACTTCTTGAATTCTTTATTAAAACACACACTACACACAACTCTACGGCATATAATTATACATTTAGCAAATGTGTCTAATGTATGCATGTGTATATAGATATAATACGCATGGATCTAAAAGTGTGACATGTAATGGATAAAAATTGGCTTCTGTAGGGGTTATTAATTTGTAATTTGAATTTTTGACTTCTTTGATCTACAATCTGAAAATACATTTACTAGGAGGGAAAGAAATATGAGGATTCTAAGACCCTGTAATTGCAAAAGTTAGTAACCATATTGATTTCCAGAATTATTCAATGTCTAGCATTTTTTAAAGCATGGTTGATCATTTGTGTTCTTGTTGGAGAAGTCACATTTTAACCTTCTATGGTTCTATTTTAACCATACATATGTACATACATGGATACACACATGTGTATGTGTGCATAGTTTTGTATAGTATTGAGTTAATTCCAAAATAGATTTAAAAGCTTTTGGTGATAATTTCATTAATATGTCCTTTTTACTCAGTAGAGTGCACACCAAGATTAACAGCACTGTCTGGTTAAAAGGTTCTGGTTGAGTTTTCTGAAACATTTCAATGTTGTGCCATAGCTCTCTCAACTACTTGTTCACACCTTAGGCAACAGTGTTAATTTTGGAAAAAAATTATTCATAAAGGGAGGGGCAGAGTATTTTGCACACAGCTTTTACACCTAGGGATTGAAGGTTCAATTTTTTTCCGCATTGTACCTGTGTATCTTCAGAGAGCTACAATAGCCCTAATCTACAAGTTACCTTTAGCTGAAGCAGGGGGTAGATTGTTGTTTGTGTTGGTGCCAGTTAATCATGTTAGCCCAACAGCATTTACATTCACACCACTATAAGAGACACATAGTTAACTGATGAATTGGAGCTATTTTACAGCTGACAGTAGGTTAGCATTGCTGGAGACTTAGCTCTATGGTCACCTGAACTGTGGTTTAGTATTTTAGATTTATTTTTACTAGGTTGTTATGGAAGAATGTGAGCTCTTTCTTTCTTTTTTTTTAAACCTTAAAAGCTTTATATTATTTAAGTGAATATGACACATAAGCACTGAATTTATTTTTAGTTAACTTGGGATAGTTATAGCAAGTATTTGATAGTACTCATTGATTATCTTGTTTTCTAGGGGCCACCTACAGATGCTCCGGCAGTAGATACAGCAGAGCAAGTTTATATCTCTTCTTTGGCACTATTGAAAGTAAGTAGAGCCACTTACTTTAGTGTGTCCTTTTGTCCTTGTTGCAGCCTTATTAGACTATTGACCATTTTGATCTCTTTCATATATAACCTATTATTTTAAACATGTAAAATGAAGAACATTTTTCCCAGTAATTCAAAAATTAGTTGGGGCATGGGGATTGTCTGGTAGGGCAAACAGATTTCTTAGACAAATAAGTTTTGAATCCAGTTGTAACGTTCATTCTTCTTTACAGATGTTGAAACATGGTCGTGCTGGAGTTCCAATGGAAGTTATGGGTTTGATGCTTGGAGAATTTGTTGATGATTACACCGTCAGAGTGATTGATGTGTTTGCTATGCCACAGTCAGGAACAGTGAGTACTTTTACAGTTTCTTCTTGCAAGTAAAAGTGGTTGTGTTTTGTTTTTTTTTCCTATGCTAAATAACTTTTCATCATGTTCCGTTTTGGTTTTTCCCAACAGGAAAAAAAAAGCATGACATTAATCATAGAAATTTCTAGAACATGTCCTGGATCTAGATATCTTTATCGGTGCTTTTAGGCTTTGAAATAAAGTAACATATTAAACTTATTGCATATATGGAGGGAAAGATATCATTATTATGTTTGAATTCAGTAATAGTTTTGGGTTTTGTTTCCATTGTTTTAAAAATATGCCCCTTTTTAATACTTCAAAATATGTGACTGTAAGGCTATACTTATTCTGGTTAAGTATAAAGCATGTAATTTGAAGAAATCACAGAAAATGTTGGATGAGGTAGATTATTTACATAAGTATACACTTTGTTGGTTTGTAAGGACTCCACTTTGTCTATGCATTCTGGTTTTGTAGGGAATATATTTAACCAGCATGAATAAGTGCATTTTTTATATTTTCTCATAAGGTTTTAAAGATGTTAAGTATTCTACTATCAACATAGTCCAAAAAAGGCCAGAGCTTTTATAGCTCTATGGAAATAAAAGCAAAGCAGGTACTTTAGGGCAGAATATATGCAATAGGAGAAACGTCTAAATGACTCTTAATTTAACCATGCTATATTCATTCTATGTTAGATTTCATTTTTTTCTTGTTTATTTTTTCACATTTTCACATGGTTAAATAAAGAATTGTTTCTAGGGGAAACATATATTTGGGTTTATAAAAGCAATGACAACATGTTGACCCTTGTAACATTAAATGCATACTGCCAGAGTTTGAGGGAGAAAATCATGAGACTTTCATTTTAATTATAAGTTAACAGAGATCAGCAGATTTCTTCATTAACTGTTTTGTGTCAGCAACCAGTCCCTCTGGGGCAAGCACACCTTGTCTTATTTAGATTTCTGCAAAGGAAGATCTCGTAATTTTTCAGTAATTGCTTGTTTACCACATAATATATGATGAAGTAGCTTTGATCACCAAAATCACCATGCATAAATAATAGTAGAAAGTTTTCTTTCTCCAAAGGTTAATTCTTAATTTTGAGTCCAAAATACTAAGGATTTCTTTTGAGGAAGTATGTTTACTATTGAATTTATATAATATTGGAGTTAACAGTATAACACTCTAATGTTAAACATTTATAATGAATGGTCCTATAAAAGAAATAATGACTTGAAAAGCTGTTGTTCATTAAGTAATAAATGACCTTTTGGGGATTTTTCTTCTAAAAATCCCATTTTGGATACATTGTCCAAAAAAAAGGTTACTTTTAAAGGCAATGATTGATCTGCTCTAGCTTTTCTGGAATGTAGTTCATGTTTGAGAGAATTGTTGTCAAAAGACATAGAAATTAAGCCAGTGCTGAAGTTGTATGTTTCTTCAGGCCTGCTTAGCAGACAAAATAACAATAATGTGTTTTAATAAATTGACTACCAAGAACAAAGCACCTGAAATTCCCAAGTTGATTATTTCCTATAATTGTATGATTGTGGATTTTCATCATTGAAAAATGTTTTTTTTTCTTCTATGAGGAAAATATTTAGGGTATGTTTATGTCAGCTGAATAAATGCAAAATATTTACCTGCCTATTGAGAATGTAACTAGTCCAAAGATTATAGATGCTAGATTTAAAGCTGGAAGGAGAACTTAGAGGTCATCTAGGACCTTCTTCATAGAGTAGTAAGGAGTTACTAAGTGCTTATTTATTGACTGATGGAAGCGCAGTTGGCACAGGATGAACCATTGATTCAGTCAGAAACTAAAATAATTTTATAATTGTTTGGTCGTAAAGTATAAAAATATGAGAAGTGGATCAAATCATCCTAAGTTATTAACTATGAAGAATTTGGGGGACGTTTAAAATGTAATTGACTAAAATCAGTACATCAATATCAAGTGAACTGATTTAAGGATCACCACCTCACAGGATTATTTTATGTAAAATAACTGGATTTTCAAGGCGATTAAACTGTCTCAAGTAAAAAGAGATTCCGTAGTTATTTCTGTGAAACTGTCAATTCACCTTGCATTATGAGGTTTTTTGTTTGTTTGTTTTCCCCCCCAAAGTTCCTTATGTGCTAAAGCTAATCATCTTTCTAAACCAGGGTGTCAGTGTAGAGGCAGTCGATCCAGTATTCCAAGCCAAAATGTTGGATATGCTGAAGCAGACGGGAAGGTAAGGGTTTCAAATCAACACATAAATAAGTAGTTGAAAACATTTCATATGCTATATAAACTGTTTGGTTTTTCAGATACACACCTCAAAGTTATGTATATTTATGGATATTATCACTGAAAAAATTCGCTTGACATAAAAGTATTATCATTATGACTGCAGTGCATTGCCTACCTACTTATCTTTTCCCTGTTTGATTTACAGAAATCATAGAAACTTGCCAACCAGCAAATTGCCTCACATTAAAATTCTTGCCTCTCACATAGTCAGCCTGGGCTGTAGCTCCCCTCTCTTCAGCATATGGACTTACTATCTAGTCACTCAGAAATGAAAAAGCTTGTGTTTTCCACATGTTTTGGTAGTTACAAGTGTATTTGTATTTTGAATATTTAAATCCATAGGCATGTGAATTACCATTTAGGTGTAAAGACAGGAGAAGTAGTAAAACATAATCTTAGTAGTCTATCAATTTTGGTGATTTCAAGCTAAACCTCTCAACAGTTGTCATTTTTTTACTCAAATTCTTTTACTGTGGAAAAAACTTAAATTCATGTTAACAAAAGGCTCAGCAGCTGAACAGAACAGTGCAAATTGCTTTTTGACTGAGTTCCTAGTTCTACTGCTGGTTTAATTGACATTTAATACTTTCATGACAGTGGATCCCAGTGTCCGTTGTTCTCGACAGACTTTGTGCCTGGAGAAGGCAACTCCCAGACTTAAGGAGTTAAAGAGTCGATGTTTACTTGAATGCTGAAAGGTAAAAACTGGCTCCAGGAAAGTGTGGCAACAGGGTGAAAAACTGCGAGCCTCACCCACCACTGCTAATGTGCATCTCTTAATGATAGCACTCCTTTGTCACACTGATTCATTTCCATGTTTTCAAGATAATATGGTGAATAATTTCAGAGTTTCTAATGGTACTTTTTCACACCTGTGTGTTTTTTAATCTCCTCTTAATTTATACCCTGTTAGTGTAGTATTTCTTTTCATATCATAAATGTTTTACTACTTCCATTAGGAGTCCCTGAATGCCCTCTTTGTTTCAGGCCTGAGATGGTTGTTGGTTGGTATCACAGTCACCCTGGCTTTGGCTGTTGGCTTTCTGGTGTGGATATCAATACTCAGCAGAGCTTTGAAGCCTTGTCGGAAAGAGCCGTAGCAGTCGTAGTGGATCCCATTCAGAGTGTCAAAGGAAAGGTAGAGTTTGTTTTTCTTTGGGGGTGTGAGATGATGGTGGATCTGTGTCTAGGTCCTTCCTTTTTTAGTGCAGCATCTCAGTGGCCCATTTATTTATTTGATTTTAAATTAAAATGTTTCTTTATCCATAATTAGATTAAATTCATAATTGAAATTAATAAACAAATCATGGAAATCTCATTCCCCTGTATATTAAGAAAATCATTATCAATTTTTAAATTCTGTGATTGTTACACATTTAGTCAACTGCCATTTAAATAATTGTGTTTTTAACCCCTTAATGGTTTGAAAGATCATTTAGGAGTGATAACCCCAGACTCAAAATGTTTTATTAATATTTTGACAAATAGTTTAAACAAACTACATTTGTGAATAGTAAGTAGGGTTGAGTACAGCACTTTAACAGCTAGTTACAAGGCTTTGTTTTGCAGATGTTGCACACGACAGTTTCTGGCGTTGTGTGTTCCAAATGTTTTAGACGATGAAAACTTGCCCTAAAGACTGGGTCTCAACCATTCACATTTTTGAGTGAGGACACAGATGAATGATTAAGTATGTTAAATGATTCTGAAAAGAGATTAACTTGCAAAGCATATTGGGTTATAGTTGTCCTTTGTTGAAATCTCTTTTGTTCTTGTTTAGTTCTTTTTTTTTTTTATTTCTTTCTTTCTAGCCCCATATGCCATTTTCCTATTTCCTGCCTCATGACAGCAGGGAGCAGCTCTATTATCACCTTCACAGAGCTGTCTGCAAATGTGAGAGGCAATTCGATTTTGCTCAACCACAGGGAGAGTGGATTAGAAAAACTACAGAACGTACAGAAATTGGCTAGGTGGTTACTGCTTTAAAATACTGCTGAGGTGTCTTGTTTGAGCATGTACTTCCATTGTAGAGCAGAATAATCGTTAAAATCACAATATATTTATGGAATCTTTTTTATGCAATTTTGTAAATACTTTTTTATAGTACTTAAAATAAATATTGACTTGCAATATTTCAGACCTGTATTATAGTAGTGGTGCAGACTACATTTATATCTATTCACTAGCTCAGACAAACAATATTACTGTTACTTCAGAGTGCTTATCTGTCATGAATTTGTAGTCCAACCATTTCTGATGACATATCATTATGATGGATCAAAATTGGGGTCTTTCCTAAATCATGATCTTATTAGTCTTGATTTAGCTTTTCAGAATAGAAGCTGCCCACAAAAGAAATAAACTAGCACATAAGGGAATTCAAAATAAATAACATCTGATACTTTGGTAGATAAAAATCTTTTGACTCATTTAATTCCTTTGACTATATGTGGTTATTTAGCTGGTGTACAGGGGGAAAAAGAAATGAAAGGCACTGACGTGCTCATTTTTTAAAATTAATTTATGGTATCCCACTACAGAATTTTAATTCTCATCCCTCATATGAAGTGCTCTTTCTTTTGTTCCACCTAGTACCATCAGAATTATTGTCCTCTTCCTTTAAAAATAGTCAATAGTTTCAGGTTGGAATATCAAATATCACTTTCAAATTTTTCCTGCCATAATGTTTAAGTGATGAGTAATCAATGAGGCCTGATTTTAAGTGAAGGTAGCAGTCTATTTTGTAGCATTGGTTAGAAACTGATAGATTGGAATTTCCATGGTAGCTTGATTCAACTGAGAAGGAGGTACTTTGAAAAGGAAAAAAAAATGAACTTAAATATAGTGAAAGAAAACAGTCTTAAAATAGAGTCTTACACAAAAACAGTTTGACATATTTTATGTTTGGTTATATAGTTTCTTTTAACATGGCACATGTTATAGTCCTGAGGATTAAAAAATAACTAAAATATAATACTGTAGGTTCTTGAATGTTGATTTATATTTATATGACTTAATGATTCTTACTGATTTTATAAAAGAAATATAGAAATATTAACAAATACATTAAAGTTTATACCACATTCTGAAATAGTCATGATGAGCATTTTATGATAGCTTTTATGTCTCTAACATCTTAAATTATTTTATGAAAAAATTGCATAATCTAGGTTTAGTGTTTGATATGGGTAGATATTTGAACAACATCTATATAGATATCTAACAGAGATAACTCACATAATTTGTTTTACTTTAACATTTAGATTTATGTTTCATATTACACCAAGGCATCTAGTCCCATATACATATATCATCTATATTATATATGTGTGTGTGTGTGTGTGTGTATGTGTGTATGTGTATGTATATACACACACACATACAGACTGCTACTTTGTTCATAAGTTGCTTAAATAAATTTGGGAAGTTGTAATTCTTTCAGAGTTACCACAAAATTATAGGAACTAGAGTGAATATAACTAATGATCATGGCCAGTGTATATTCTTGTTATTCCACATAGTTTGTTATATGAATTTAAATCCCCAAGTTTGTCAGTATTTTTCATACATAGAGGCAGGCAACTGTTGACCCAAGAGTTGAAATTGTAAACCATATATAAATTATTTAAATTGTCCTTGATTCATGAGCCTCTTGGAATGTCAGTTTTTTGCATTTTATATATCCCATTTTTATATTTTTTACTAAGTAAGTGATACTAGTTTTTAATCTCATGAGTATATCTTAATATTTCATTAGTTTTAAATCATTGTCGCTATTTTTCATATCATTAGAAGATTTGGACATTGCTATATAAACATAGAAATGGAAAGTATCCTAAGAGGTCGATCATCTTAGGAGGCCCCTTCTAAACTATTCTCAATATTGATAACTCAATTTCATCAATAAAAGTGATTTTACAAATTGGTTGTTGTTGGCTACCCATTCTAACATTTTTCTTTACCATATTGCCTGTTTATGTGCCTGTTTATAAGTGATATTTGAGCTAGGCATTGTATAAATTGTATAAATTAATTTAGACAAACACAATATTTGCTAACTAGCAGCCTATAATCAAGAATAGAAGATAGAAACAAACAAATAATAGCATAAAAGATTCACATATAGTAGCATACCTTAGTTGAACCGAGGCATGTTACATAATTGGCATAGCTAATATACATTACAGTGATGCCAAGCCAGAGTAGTTGCATTTGATTCTAGTGTAGAGTAGTCATTATTGCCAGAAACTAACATTTAATGAACTCTGAATAGTAAGAAATATGACATTAAGTTTCTTGGGTTTTAAGATGTTTGCTTCCTTAGTTTATTTTTAAGATGTTCTAGTTCAGAGATCTGACTTTGTTCCTCCAGTTGAAACATCAACTGCTTGCTTGCAAATGTTGCTATTGTATGCTTTCCACACATAGCTGACCCAGTCTATTCATTGAACATTCAGTTAGTATAGTGAATTAAGTTTTAGTCTGATATTGCTTCCTCCTTAGTCCCGGGAAAGTAGTGGTGCAGTGCAAAGAGGACAGGCTTTGAAGTCACATGACCTAGGTTCATGTCCTGCCTCTGACATTACCTTTGTGACCTTGAATAAGTCACTTAATCTCCCTGAACCTCAGTTTCCTCCTCTGTAAAATGAGGGGTCTAAACTAGATGTCCTCTGTTATCCCTTCCATCTCTTCGTCTATTATCATTCTATAACTTAGAACAAAAAGAGCCTGTTAAATAGGTTTCAGTATTACAAAGTATGTCCGACAAGGTTTTTGCCTATAGGAAACTGACCAATTCTTCCTAAAATTTTGTTGTCTGTGTCTGAAGTCTAAGGAAAATTACTTTAAAATACCAGTGATCATTTAACACCCTCCCCCCCAGTCTAATCCTCATTTTTGTGAGAGATTGTTATTTAGGAGGGGTTCCATGTATGTGTAGCCTGGTTTTCTTTGCCATATTGAATTCAATTTGCCATTCGGAGAACTTTTCCTGTGACATACAGGAATAGAAGATATCATCAGGGAAATATGGAACAGGAAGAAGAGACACACTAGTCATGTGGTGAGGATGAGGGTGGCAGCTGAACAGCCAAAGTGATCCACTAATGTCCTTATGAAGTCTGGAAAAATTGAAGAAGGCCTTCAGCATATTGGGTGGATCTCCTGTGGTGAACTTATCGAAAGGATATGAGCAAGGATTACACAAGATGAGCTAGTGTGGATGTGAAATCAAGCCTGTAGATCCATTTGAGTATTGAGGACTTTCCAGATGGATTTTTTTAAGTTGTAATCCAGTCAGCAAGTTTTTTTTGGTTTTGGTTATGTTCTGGGAAGGCAGGTTGAACAGTTCCAAAATAAGAAGGATTCTAGAATTCGAATGAAATATTATTATAGAGCCTCTGTCCACAAAGAGTTTATGAGACGAACTGTAGTAGAGTAGAAGGAGTGTTCTATTTGAAGTTAGGATATGGGTTCAGAATCAGCTCTTGGCTTATTCCCTACCTGTGTGACTTTGGTCAAGTCATCTATCCTTTCTGAAACTCCGTTTCTTAATCTGGAAAATGAGGGAGTTTAACTAAATGGTATTTCTGAGACTTCTTCCTGCAGTTAAGTCTGTGATCCTATATAAAGAAGCAATATCTATGAGAGAATTACCAAACAGCGTTCTCCTAAAATTGTGTGGTACAAATAGGCCATAAAGTAGCAGGTTTGTACATACAATACATGCAGAAGGAATTAAGAGATCAACACAGAACTGTGTTGTCTGGAACAGCTTTACAGAGGAGGTAAGACTAGAGTTGAGTCTTTGAAGCAAAGAAAAGTAAGGGAAAGTCTTCTAGATATAGGAGACGTTATGAATAAGGAAAATTTCACTTATACTACAAATTCAGGCATCTGTCACAGTGTAAAATCAGTTACTTTTCGGCATTCTCAGAGAAAGAAGAACAGGAAATTGGATGTTAGTGTGGAAAAAGAGAAAGACAGAAAGGGTGCTGTAATAACTCCTCCAAGCCCTAAGAAGGACATCTAGAATATTTCCTTTCTTAGGATAGATCCTTTACTTAGTTAATAAAAATGAATGAGTTAATTCAAAACTGTAAAATGGTTTTAATGTCCCCAAATATCACGTACACAAAA